CATTATGTTTATTTACACATACATATTATAGTTATATTGTAAAAAAAACATCGCAAAACAATGGTAATAACAGTTTTGATAAAATCGAGTACATAAAAAGCATAAATAAATTGCGACGTCAAAACTAATTAGTAAACTAGTCTGTCAATTACTTTACTATATTATGTCAAAAGTTAAGATTAAACTATATCATTAGGTCGTCTTTCATTATTATGGACGGTAATACTCAAATAAATCGACTGCTAAAGTGGAATAGAAAAAAAAATCTTCACAAAAGAGAACACAATTTTTTTTGTAAGAGCCTACACAAATATGTTGCAGGTGATATGACTAACTTAAAATTGATTATTACTTATAATATACTAACTTATAATATTATGTAGTCATGAGCAAATAGGATATATTATAATATTATTACTACTAAAACTACAGTAGAGATGGGCCAACATTAATTTGAAAAGCTTTTATTATGTATTCATTATTCTTTATTCAAATAAGGTGTATTGAAAGTACTTTGGAATCGTTTAAAAATGTTTATCTAGTACCCTTCATTTAAGACGTCTTTTGGCTGATAATAATGCATGAAGGTTTACAGCTCTTAACATTTTCTCACATTTACCATTTTTTCGTGTTATTACCAGAGGTCGGAATTAGGTAGAGTTATTTATGTACTTGCATCGAAACGTTGATATTAATGTGGACCTTCCCGGGATTTCTTTATTTCTTCTTTCTTTATTTCATTGATGTAAGTTTGGCAACGTCGTGCGTGCAGTAGTTTAAATTGTGTAAAAGTAAATAACTTTTTATTTAAAAAATCACGGGATTTTTTCTGCTCTTTAAAATTAATCTCGGGATTTGAGGCATATCCACTTAATTCTTTCGCTGTATGAAATCAGTGTAAGTACATGAATAACTCTACCTAATTCCGACCACTGGTTATTACAAAATCAATGTCTATTATAATAAAAAATAACTTTATAATAACTTCTATAATAAAAAATACATAACTCATTCGTTGACAAGACGTGTCAATGCTATTAATGAATATTATTTATACAGTATACATAAAACAAAAAAATCACAAAGGTAACTAATCTAGAGCACTCATTTCCACAAGTAGCACCCGTTCACGAACATGACGCATGAGCCAGCCATCGCCGTTCACATTCATAAAATTTTTACATATTCAACAGAGCTATTTAAGTCGATCTAGATACCACAAAGAAGTATAATTACTACCTAAAACACGTCTAATAGTATAATGTCTAATAGTATATAAAACAAATGACTCGAGTAAACTCTTACCTTTAAATGAAATCTTTAAATGCTTACTTCTTTTATGTAATAAATGAATATACGCTTTTTTTCATTAATTAGAGTCGCGTACTTACTTGTATTGTGTATTATGCAACCACTTAGATGGTTACTAGTTACACATCAATAACAATACATATTTCAAGAGTTTAGAAAGCATCTTAGAATATAACTAATACGTTTTTATTTTTCATAATTTATTAATCTATGTAAATTAAAGTCACAAAAATGTTGATAAACTCAAAACTCCAAAACGGCTACACCAATTTGGCATTTTTTTTTTTAATGTCCGACAAGTCTGAAGAAGTTTGTTATTGATAAAAATATATAAATCCCGTGAAGTGTCTATTTCACATCGATGATATCTGATAGGTTAATTTGTCGTCTGCAGAGACACGCGTAGTGAGAAGACCAGGGTTGCGTTCGCTGATGCTAAAATAAAAAAAAAACAATGTCACAGAACATGAACCAGCTCTTAATGTAGACATGAGAAAACGTTACTTCGGTATTCCGAGCCTATATACCTACAGACCAAAACTTTCAAATTGAATCTAAACCTTAATCTATTGATTAAGGACAATATTTTTTGTGCAGAAACCGAACCTTTTGTACGACACGGCTAATGTAGTTCATCGATATACCTGCGCAGAAAGCGAAATTTAGGAACGCGACAAATGTTAGATATTCAGAAAGATTTATTAAACTATCACGCGTTTAACTCGTCGTGAGTGTCAGTGAAGCTGACACCGAATATGTTTTATTTATACCTTATCGTTATTAAAACATAGGCATGAGTTTGATATGTCAAAACGTATCTGAAAACCGATATGAGTGACAATATCATATCGTATGGACAACACAAACTACTCGTATATCCAAATTATATCTCCGTTTTCTCATAACTACCTAAATACGAAACATAAATCTACGAATCGTATCTCAAAAAGTATCAGCTTAATATTCGTCTCTTCTCTTTTAAATGCCGTAGGCCAGAAAGAGATGAAGCGAATATCATATCCAATCCAGTTACGAACGCTCGAATTTGGCAAAATCTTTAATTTCTTAGCTGTAAGGCCTACTTAAGCATGCTAGCTAAGTAGCCAAGACACGATATTCGCCCCTTCTCTCTCTAATGTAAGCGAAGGTCCGTGAAGCAAAGGAGGTGAAACGAATATCATATCCATATTACTAGTTTTGACGTATCGAAAAATTGTCTACAACCATTCTTAGATATAGATATTTGAAGATGGTTTTCCATATCGATATCAAAAATATTATAATCGAGATAATATTAGTCTCCAGATGAAAATAATTTATTCATATCTGTAAATAATGTTTAGCGACCACATTTTAAATTTGTCTATAGCTAAGATTTGTTTGCATTGAATAGACTCTTGAAACTACTGAACCAATTTTTAAAATTCTTTCACTACGAAAAACTACATCGCGGGTGTGCGAAGTCACGGGTAAACGGCAAATCTTTTATAATTTATTATCGGGATTTATAGGTATAAATACTCGTATATTAATTATCTTTCAGAGCAAGAAGGAGACGGTTCGTAGATTTAAGGGTTTATTAGCAGGCCGATAATACTTACTTAAGACCACGTTCTCTCAGCCTATTCTTGACAGCTGGTTTGATCCTCGGACCCCCGTTACTATGCAGCCCCCTTCCAGTTATGAAGAATAGAGTGTGGGACCTCGGTCCTCTTCCCTGACTTTCTTTCAGCCGTTGAATGTGAGTATCTATGAAGAGGTCTAACGCTTCTTTAGCCTCAGCCACGCGTAAATAATGCAAATCTATTGTGGCGGTGTCAGGAGAATTCGCAGCGTGTACCTTGATAACGAGAAATCAATTACTAGATATAGCTAGTTGCATTCATGGAGGTATTATTGGATTAGGGAAGTCAAGACTTAAATAGGGATGACGACAAGCTAAAAAGAAAGAAATTCTATTTAGTCCGTCAGTTAGATAATAGGAAAATATTAGGTACGTATTATTTTTTTAATTCAATTTAACAAGAAATAGCTTAGATAACAGACATTAAAGTTGAGAAGGGGGGCTCGCTACGTCACAGTTTTGTAGAAAATGTACAAAAGCGTGACGTCATGTGACATTTTAACTCGAATGTATTGATTACAAAAAAAATAAAAAATATGTGTCTAATATTCTATTGCGAAAGGGATATCAGAGAGCTAGGAACAGAGTGGATTTTTCATTAAGAATCTGTAATTTTTCATTAAGAATATTTCTCAGTACCTATAGCATTGTGAATGCATAATTGATCAAATATAATTTTTAATAAAATATTAATTTTTAATCAAATATAATATTCCATCTTAATTTTTTAATAACATATATAAAAATAGGTTTTTATATAATTTAAAGTATATATTTTAATATAACTGCATTTTTTCTGTGATTAAAAATGTATAAAATCAATCGAGCTCTTATTTACTCTCGATGCGTATTTATATAGCAACGCAAGCGGAGGTACAACAGGGCCTTAAAAATGAAAATTAACTCACTTGCACCAAGGACACCACGGCTAGGCTGTTGGCTTGTTCGTACTTCAATTTATGGAACGCAGCAATCTCGCTGAAGTAACTGGCGGCTTGGAGCATACCACGACGGACATATTCATTCGCTTTCTGGTGGTTGCTGTAAATACGGATTGTATAAAAATTTATCACTGTTTAAGCTCATAACAGACGGATAAGATGCTATAAGATTTCATCTAAAGATATCTTTAAAAAATATTTAAATACAAAAGATATAAAGCTACCACACATGATTAAGATTACTTTAATAAAAATGCTATAATATTTCGTATCTTAAGATAACCTACGAAATATATAATTTAGTACCGCTTGGCATCTTAAGATACTTAATATGATATTATCTTAGCCGTGTGTGATGGGACGTTGGAATGTCTGACCAGCGATATTTTATCTTAAAATATCATATTACAGCATCTTAACCGTCTGTTACGACTTTTAATACTAGTAATACTAGCCTGAAAGACCATAGAGAAAGAGGATAAATTACCGAAATATAAAAATCTAGAATGGTCACCCACCCTTTGAGAAAATACCGACACTTGCAAATAATTTAAGTCTCAGACGAAACAGTTTTAAGCTTGCTAAAACATATCCCATAACATCCCACCTATGGTCTTTTTAAGTTATAAATTAGGTCATTGTCTGGAATAAATTAACAGAGAATATAATTGCAGATATTGTTGATAGTTTCAAATCACAACGAACTGGACCTATAAGCGTTTTGACAGAGTTACACACTTGATGATTATTTACACATTTGTATGCAACAGCTTGATAGAAATTTCATTCATACATGCGGCTTCACTGCGGCTGGTGTTTTAAAATAATTGTAAATATATTTCTTTAGGCTGTTTGGGTGGTTTGTTTAAACATGATGAAAATACGTTCTCTCGAAGCGATAAGTAACAACTGCTTGAAAAATTCGTCAGTCCTATTGGGTTCTGGGTAGTTCAGTGGTTAAAGCAGTCGCCCGGATAAAGAAAGGTCGTGGGTTCGAGTCCCATCTCAGAGTACCGAGCGGGTGGATTTTTTAAGCATTTTTCATTAAGAGTAATGCATTGATCTTGTGAAAACCGATGAATGTAGACTATGCTATGTACTTCACGGGATAAACAAATGTAAACTCACATATTACGATTAATTAGATGACGCTCTGCCCTCTCTCTGTAACTGTTCACTGTGGACATTTCCACAACTTCACCTCTAGGTAATAACGGCCACTCCACTTCTGATAGAGCCTGGTATAAATCAAATACACCATTAATGAAATATAAAACACATTTAATAATATAATCTAACAAAGTCTATAGAGGAATTTGAAAATTTGCACTAGTGATTCACTATTAATGTGAATGAGCACTAAGAGTAGTGGGTAATATTTCTAGGGTTAAATAATAGTTTGGAAGCTTATGTAGAATCTGTATACTATTTAATAAGAATCTTGGTTGAATTTTGAAGATATTGGCAAGTACTTTTTTTTATATGAATCTGATCTTTTTATTCATGAGTAATTTCCTTTGAAAGCATAAAATGCAGTATGACTTGAGGTATTTTATTTTTAAAGATTTCATGGGAATATATTACATTTCCTATATGTGGATTAAAGTATGTAATTCTTAATATTAAACTTACTTTTCTCTCTTCTTCTAAGAGACGTTCTTGACGTTCCATCTCTTTTTGCATAACAAATTTATTCAAACCATTCTTCTGTTCAAGTATATTTGCTTTTCCGGTCGACATTAACAACACCTAAAACAATATAAAGCCTAAATTTAATATGTTAAAAGAAAAATATAATTAATGACGAAATTTAAATAATACTTACCTCTACAGTAATTTGAAAATTATTATCGTGAGCCATTAGGAGCTCAGACAAAATTTCTTTTGCTACATCTGGGAATAAATTGTAGAGTTTGTCCCTAGTCAGCTTTGCTGCTAGATCATTGGGTTCTTTGTTGCGCCATTCCGCAACGTCTTTTTGATATAACGAAAGTGCTAAATCCATATCCATAATTTCTTTGAAATCTGGAACTTCTGGTTCTTTACCGGCCAAAGTCAGCTCTGCTTCTTTCATAGATAATTGCCTGTAAAATGGCGAATTCTTTAAATTCTCTAATTTGAAGTCAACTACTGACGATGATTGAATAATAAATAGTAATTGAAAATCCTCCTAATTTATATAATCACAAAAGCGTTTTACACCCGGTTTCTGCATTGAAAATTTAAGGTTAAGCATGTTACAAACTGTATTTTTTTTTTGTAACTGTATTATAAGAGAAAATTTACGTTTCACAAGTTTTTATCACGCACAATTTAATTGGTTAATAAATAGAAAGAATGCAACTATGATTTACATTTACTGACATAATTTTAAAGGGTGTTCTGATGAAAAGATTATGTCAATTCGTTTTGTATCGTTTAAATTAAAGCATCTAATTTTACCTGGCAAATTCTTCGTCTTCTTTTACCATAATCGCAGTCTGTTTATCATGCTCATCCATTTCATCCATCAACGACTCTATCCACAGAGCGTTTATTTCATTCAGCAGAGATAGCGGAACATTTATTTTAGGCAAAACTTTATTAGGATAATTCATACTATTTCGGCCAAACAGCTTATCTAATTGAGCCACAAACTCCCAACCCAAATTAACAACTACAGTTTTTTCAACATCATCAAATGATGTGTCCGACGCATCCATATGACTATACCCAGAAGCTTGACAGTCTAAATCAGTTGTGCTTTGAGCACTTTCTGTTTCATCATTTTTGACAGAATCAGATTCTGGGTTTTCATCACTTAGTTCATATTCACCACGACGAAACTTTCTTATCTTAAGACAGTGCTGTGAATAATGATTTTCAGAAAAGTCAACATTTTGCTCAATTATACGTTTTAATTGCAGTGAATCACCTGATGTACTTTCTTTTTTCGATTTCTTTTGACTTTGTACTTTAGGAGAACTTCCGCTTGCTACAGGTGTTACATATGATTGTGTAGTTAAACTTTTTCGTTGGGTTAAAGATTTATCAGGCAATATATTATAAGCTGCTAAACAAGAGCAAAGATCATCGTTAGTACTTGCATCCTCTTCTATATCAGATGTACTTTCTATATCAATAGTTTCTAATTGTTTGGATGCTACTCCATCTAATACTATTTCCACTGCCCAGTTAACATCCCCCATGCATTTGTCAAATATATCTCTCAAAGCATGTTTGGAAACATTTTTGAATAATTTTCTAAGTTCATTGAAATGTTTCTCTTCACTTTGACATCTATTTGTTAAGTCGGGAATTGAATTTTCATTTGTCATACTACTTTTATCCAGCATACGCTTTTCAGGAATTTTTTCTTTATTTAACGAAAAATTAAACTGATTGATATCCCTAGGAGTTGCAGTGATAACTTTGAGCATATTAGAAGTATTCTCTACATCTCCAATTTCGATGCAAGTACTATTAGACACAGTTTCTACGGGTATTTCTTCAAGGTTTATAGATTGGGATAATATTCCTTCTTGGGCACTCCAAGGAGGCATAAACATAGAGATTTGTCTCCAATCTTGACAGCCGTCAAAAGTCCCTAGAATTTTCTCATCTGAATTAGTATGGGACTGTTTTTTTCTTTGTGGTTTAGGTACAGTAACTTCTATACTTTCAGTATGTTTAGTATGATCAGTCGAAACATCTTGTTCTGCAATCCAGTTTTCGCCATTTTCCCATTCGCGTTCAACCTTCTCAATTTCCTCTAACTGTTTTTGCACATCTACATATGAGTTGAGATCTATTTTGTTTTCAGTATCATCATCAATTTCGACAGCAGATTGGGCAGAATTTTTAACAGTAGGTAAAACCTTCTCTGTTGTAGTCATAGAACTATTTGAAGCGGTAGAAATTTGTATGTCATTATTTGGAATTGGTATGGCTTCAAGGGTCTGTACGTCAGTTATAGAAAGACTTTCCATATTTGTATCCAAATGTTTATTTTGTTGTTTTTCACTAGATGTAGCGAAATTTGTATTTTCTTGCGAAATAGGTTTCTTAGGACTAGGCCGAAAGACAGGCATTGATCGAATAACTGGTGGGACTTTATCAGCTGGATAACTTAATCCAAAAGCTCTAATCAAAGAGTCTCCAGTGAGATTATTAATATAATTCTCTAACATTCTTCTAATAGAAGTTATAGGCACATTATGTACATTTCTTCTACAAAGTTGATTAGGTTTTTTAGCCCATGGTGTATTAGGCTCCAACACTTCTATGATATAACCATTGGTGACACCTGCTCGTACATAAGGTTCTGTTTCCCATACTTCTATGTTGGTGTTATCAATAATCACAGGACTCAAACCTTGCTCCATGGCTGAGATAGCTCTTCTCTGATTAACACTATGAGCATATGGTAGATCATGTTTATTAAAATTATACCTACCTCTAACCATAAAATAATCATCTGTACTACAAATGTGAGTTTTCAATTCTGCAAATGTACCTCCAACAGTTGCTTCAATTAGCTTTTCAGCTAAATAAGATTTTCCAGAGCCTGGAGCACCTCTCATCAATATTAACACACGATATCCTTGATTGTAATACATAACAATTCTACGGAAATCTTCACTCCAGGCGATTGAATGATTATAAGATGCAGTAGGTTCTATTTGCTGTTTAGGCATTGCTCCAATTCTTTGGGATGCTGCTGCATATGAAATTGTTGATTCTTGATTAGGAACAGTATCTAGATTTTGTGTAGATTCTTCCTTTTTTTCTTCTTTGGTTTCTGCATTAAATGTAGTGTTTTCTTGCAAGCTATTTGTATCACATGTAATATTCATAATTGCATCAGCGGCCGTGTTTACTGAAAAAAAAGATGATAATTACATTAATCATTAAATTATATTAAAATACCACGAAAAGGAAATTAATAAGTTAAGTTTGTATGAATACTATAGATATTCTAGGATTTATCTATGCGAACAGAATAAATACAGTAAAAACTTCTTAATGGCGTTGTATATGATGTAAACAGATAATACAGAAACCGGAAATATTAAATAGTGATTATAATATAAAACAGCATTTCCTAACCATTTCTTTAAAAAACAAGATTTTTATTTGCGCAAACGCTAAAAATAAAAAGTTGATTGAAATCTTAAAAAGTCAAATTAAAAAGCTAGTAGCGCGCAAAATTTCAATACTATCAGACATTAGGAAGTTGATCAAGAGTTCTAAGATTTGCGCACTAACCAACAAGGCTAAGTTGCATATAAGCTCGTGCAATTATAAAAAAAAGGATCTAATTTTTATATTTAAACACATTTATTTGAACAATGGAGCTAACCTTTTTACACCTAAACCTGTAGTATTTGAATTGATGTATTTACCGTTATGCTCGCGGTGACCCGCAGACACAAAATTTGGGCAAGACTGTTAAACATTGACTGAATTGCTGCTTTTTTTAAGTAAAGCTTAAGTTAAAGATTTTACTATAGGTATATGGTGGGAGCACCAGCGCCACACAAGGAACCAATAGAACACAATTCCAATCTTCAAACCTTGATATTAACGATTTTTTTACGCGGTAGCATTGCTATACCGTATTTCTATCTCTAACTCCAGCACACTTCCATAGACCCAACACGGTCGGTGTTCGCGGATAACATTAACGACGTTATCAATCACAGTACTGGTACCACTAGTGAAAGAAGTTCCCCGCCGCTTAATAGAACTTTTAGCTAATCCATATTATTTTGTAATATTGTTCCCTGACGGGATGCATGAGCACGGCGCCCACGGCAGCTCTGGAGGTAATGTTGAATATTACACCGCTACATATTTATATTAGACAGGAAGCGGCCAAGACAGCGTTGAGACTAAAAAATCATAAACTGGTAAGGTTCGATACCGCTAAACATCTCAATGGCTTACTGAAGGAATGGCTTAACACCCCGCTTGTAGAGGCGGTTTGCGACAGAATCGAATCCACCTTCATCTTTGACAAGAAATACAAGATACATCTTACGGACAGTGACGATCCAAAGTTAACACACAGGGCCCTCACTGTTTTCACGGACGGCTCCAAAACCTTAACAGGCACAGGGGCTGGTGTATTCTCTGAGGACCTTAACATACATCTGTTCCTGCCCCTCGCCCCATACAATACAGTCTTCCAGGCTGAATGTATGGCGATCACCCTGGCGGCGAGAGCGATAACTACAAGGAAGGTAACAGGATCAGAAATCCGGATCTTCTCGGACAGTAAATCAGTCCTACAGGCTCTCAAAGGAAGTTCTGTCCGATCGAGTCTTCTACAGGAGTGTCACCAGGTTCTAAACATGGTAGGGACACACAATATAATTACTATCCAATGGATAAAAGGACACAGTGGATCACGTGGAAATGATGCAGCTGACGAACTGGCACGCAGAGGATCAGATGCAACACCAATGGGCCCGGAACCGATCATTCCTATTCCGGTAAGCTGGTTAATTGGTAGGATACGTGAACACTCGAGTAAACTACATCAACAATACTGGCACACTTTGGAAACCTGCAGGCAGGCCAAACTTGCACTACCCCGAGTGAACGCTCACCTCTCCAAAGCCCTCCTACAGCTAAGTAAACCATATTTGCGCCTGGTAACGGGTGCTATTACTGGTCATGGCAACTTTAACAGGCACCTTTTCAATCTAGGTGTCACTGACAGCCCCTTGTGCAGAGGATGCATGGAGGCGGAAGAAACAGCCACTCACGTCTTGCTGGAATGCAACGGAGTGGCCAACTACCGGGCAAAGTACCTCGGCTCGCCGGGCAACCTCCAAGAGGCCATCGCAGATGTGAAGGCGCTCGGGGCGTTCCTGGCAGAGCTGGGCTGGCTGGAGTAGTATCCAGCCACACACCCTCCACACGCAAAATAGGCTCAATTTGGTCGTCGAGTTGCGGAGACGCCCGTTGTAAGAAGAAGAAGAAGAAGAAGTAATATTGTTCAAATATATTTGTAATATCGTAGAAAATTAATAAGTATGTAGGTATCTAATTTATAAATGTTCAGGTCATAGACTTTATTCTCGTTAAGACATAATCACTTACATGACAGCATCATATAAAAAATTAATATAAAAATTATGATCGGGGGGTAAGTGATCAATCTGACAGCTTTCAGCCTTAAACATGGTATAAAGGTGTTAAAATTGTACAAAATCCTCATGTTTCGCCATTTTCAAATAGCATGCAAATCATTATAATGGAATCTAATGCAGTCACAATTATTACAATAAAATTATTTAATTCTTATTATGTTGAAATTACATATCATGTTAAAAAAAAAGTCAATGTAATATTCTAATTCCTTTTGTTCAAAAATTCGCTAATACTATAAAAATTATTACAATTTAGCCAGGCATATAATTTTCTTTTAAACAATCCAGGCGTTAAAGACTTCAGTTCATGTGGAATTTTATTATATACTTTAACGCACATAGCCAAACAACTTCTCCCATACTTATCCGATTTTGTAATTACATTTAATATAAGTCTATCAGGGTCTCGACGTTGTCTAAATTTTTGTTTAAAGTTTGATTTTATTAATATTAAGTTTAAAATTATATTTAATATGTTTTGATTTATTGAATTAAACAAAAACTGATTTCTTTAAATTTATTGTCAAATTGTTGATTTCTAGCCATTCTATTACCTTGTCAACAGTATTATTTATGTCAAATTCATGATTCAGTATCGAATTATTATTTACTTTATTTGATGTCACTATTATTGAAATATCGATTTATTTAATTATTGAAATTAAATAAATCATTTGTAATTTTCATTTATATGGTCCCATAGTTTGACCTTAAAACTGTTAAATGAGCTTACATCCTTTATATTTGAAGGTTGTTGTAAAGTTGTGTTCTTCAAATGTTATACTTTTTATGTTTATTATATTAATGTTATTATAAAATATATTCAGCTGAAGGAAAAAATAAATGATTATTAAAAAAGTGTTTCTATCAATCCCTTAACCATTACTGAATGCTATATACACACCATCTACATTAAGAAAAATCAAAAAATCCGTAACGACACTTGAATATCGATCATTTCGAACCGAGCAACCATTTTAGTAAGAATGCTTAAGACGGTCATTTATTTTAATTCTTATAAATCTTTGTTTACATCAATTAGAGTGACCTGTATTACTCTTAATTTTTTCTATAAAATGCTAATTTACATGAATCAATGTCATGGGTAAACTAATGGAACAGGAATTGTATGAATTTGCAGTAGCATTCTGTTTGGTCAACCACTTATAATAGGCTTATCAATAAATTTTTCATCTTACTTTTTCTATTTATATTCAATCTAAATATGTCAAGAACTTATAATTGTAAATTTTGAATAATCACATTGTTCTAGTAATTAACAAGTCACCAATGGTTTGTTACTAGTAATTTCTATACTACGCATTTGATGTAGTCATTGACTACTACACTTTTTTTACTGACAAAATGCCTGTCTAAAAGATTTTTTTTAAGGAGAATGCACTGGCAGATATATTGGAGGGTCAAAAATTTAAGAATCATGTGGTAAATATAGTATTCCTTAAATAAGTTTAAATAAATGTAGCATTTTAAGTACTATTATGAACGAGTCTACAGCTCTTCATAAAATTTAAAGATTGATTTAAAATTGAAATTTAATTTGATGTAATTAAAACTATTATTCATTCAAAGCATTTCTTTTATTTACTGGTTTAGAACTGGTACAATGTCTGGTTTAATAATCGTAAAACATTATTAAACCGACTTGCTGCATTCTTTTTTATATGTATAAAAAATTGTTTAATATAATAATAAAAGTCACATTATCAAAATGTTGCTTTTTCACTCAAATTGATGAACCACTGTAACATTTATAACTTCCGAGTGAATTGAGAACAAATCTTATACATAGTTACTATGCCTTCCTATTATTATAAGAACGATTTTTTCAATAAAAAAAAGACTGAAACGATTTTACAAAGACTTTAGAAGTCTTTGACGGTAAAAGACGGTAAATTGAGAACAAATCTTATACATAGTTACCTTCACGAAGGCTATCACTGCTGTATGAAACTTCCAAACCATATATTATCGAATATGTAGCGGTCAGATACTGTCTATTATGGGTAGCTCCAATTTGAAAATTATGTAAAGAACTGGTCTCAATATAGAGCCTTGGGATACGTCTACTTTTACCGTCAAAGACTTTTTAAGTCTTTCTAAAGTCGTTTCGGTTTTTTTTATTGAAAAAATCGTTCTTTAATATAGGAAGGTATAGTAACTATGTATAAGATTTGTTCTCAATTTACCGTCTTTTACCGTCAAAGACTTCTAAAGTCTATGTAAAATCGTTTCAGTCTTTTTTTTATTGAAAAAATCGTTCTTATAATAATAGGAAGGCATAGTAACTATGTATAAGATTTGTTCTCAATTCACTCGGAAGTTATAAATGTTACAGTGGTTCATCAATTTGAGTGAAAAAGCAACATTTTGATAATGTGACTTTTATTATTATATTAAACAATTTTTTATACATATAAAAAAGAATGCAGCAAGTCGGTTTAATAATGTTTTACGATTATTAAACCAGACATTGTACCAGTTCTAAACCAGTAAATAAAAGAAATGCTTTGAATGAATAATAGTTTTAATTACATCAAATTAAATTTCAATTTTAAATCAATCTTTAAATTTTATGAAGAGCTGTAGACTCGTTCATAATAGTACTTAAAATGCTACATTTATTTAAACTTATTTAAGGAATACTATATTTACCACATGATTCTTAAATTTTTGACCCCCCAATATATCTGCCAGTGCA